TGACGTGATCTCTTGTAAGACGTGTGGGAGCGAAAACATTGGCGAGACGAGTAGATCACTCTGCACATAAAGCTAGACTACGTACGCATAGGACACAAACATATAACGGGGACGAATATGAAGTACAAATGACCATTCACACACAAGAACGTAAAACCTCACAGCGCAGGTTTCTCATTTAGATCTTTGTCCAAATTCAAAAATATCCTTTCATTATTATTTGAGCCAACATGTCATGTGGTCTGGTAAAGGCTCTTGTACAGCCCGAGACACGTGTTTCGTCCTTACAGACTCATCAGCCGGGCAGAACCCGTCGTCTGTCGATCTTTTTATAGTCAATTCTCTCGGGAGCCTTACACTCCTTATATATAGTTATCGACGACGTACGCTTTACACTCTATGTCAGGTGAAACATTCACCTAACACAGAGTGTTTTCGCACTCTCGGGCTGTACAAGAGCCCTTACCAGACCACATGACATGTTGGCTCAAATAAAAATGAAAGGATCTATTGAAATTTGAGCGTGATCTTAATAAAGCACTCGAAGGAAAGGTCAAAACTGTCTTGCAAAGATGACTGTCTCATGATGGCGCATGATTTCACGCCATTTCTCGCTTCGATTTTTGCGTATCTGCGAAGGGCACACACCTCGCCCCATAAAGGGATTCGCTACGGCTAGCCTACATGTTAACTAGTGGGCCAAAGAAAAACAACAAAACGGTGAGTTTTTGATATATATTGATTACTATGCGATTAGATACTCATGTAGTGAATCTCATTTGGTTGGTAAGAAATATTCCAAGCTTCTACGTTTTTTTCTAATCATTGTCCATGCATTTTAGCTCTTGTTTTTACTATAGTTTAGAGCGCATTCTTGCGGTTAGTTTGCTAGATAACACATACAAATGGAATTCTTTTTCTTTTACCGCTTCTGGCGATAGTATGATGTTATCAATATGCCCGTATATTATATAGAACATGTTTGAGATATATCAATAACACTATGCCATCGCCAGAAGCGGTTTAAAAAAAAAGAATTTGATTTGATCATTCAATACCCAATATCTTTCACGTGAGTGGGTCCAATGTCGATACCGACTACCAGGGCCAGGTCGTTGACGGCTGGAGGGGCTAACAGATAAATGTGCTGTAGCGTAGAAAGAGTGGTATGCAAAATGGGCGTCAGTAGTGCAACGGATGAAAGTATGCGCTCCTGGATAAAATGAGGTGTGGGCTTGAGTCCTGCCCGACGTAATAGTTTTGCAAATCACTCTACATAATCACTGGATATAACAGTTATACATTTGTTTCAAAGTGGATTTGTCCCGAGAGAAGGCTGCTGATGTTACTTGAGTTTGGTTGCATGCCAAAGCAGCACTTGAACCCAACCGATACTCGCGTAGCCTTTTAACAGATGTATAAGTGTTACATATCGAAATAACCGCAAGATACTGCTCTAAACCATGGCAGAAACAAAAACCGGTATTATTCTGATACGGCGGCACCACTTGAGGCCCTCGGTAAAGACGTATTTTTTACTTTTGCAAAACGTTTCTATAGTTTTTCGATGACTCAAATCAAGTGAATTTCAAAGGTATGTTTCATTTCTCATATTGCTTGTTTCTAACGCCGTACCTGTCAAAATGAGATATTGCTTCACATTTGAAGGTTTTTTTATAACGAAATTTCAACCATTAGATAGAGCAATTCTTTCTGATTGAGGAAATGTGTTTGGGGTTCACACACCCTAGCCGACTTGAAGTGCTCACTGAGTGTGAAACACAATATTCTTTCGGTCGTTTCAAAGCTTGAAAAATTCCTTTCCGAAAGCCAAAATATACCGTTATAATTGGAAAGATTATCTTTATCTAATGATTAAAAGTTCATTACAACATAATTTTTATCCAGCGAGAAATTTTCGGATAAGGAAAAAGATCTAATCTGACTGGTATGGTGCCAAAAATAAGCTATTTGAGAAACTAAACATGCTACTGAGATTCACACGATTTGAGCTATCGATAAACTGCATAAACGTTTTGCAAAAGCAAAAAATAAGTTTTTACCGAAGGCCTCATTTGACGCCGCCATAATAGAGCAGTACCCAAAAACTTAAATGCTTGAAAATAATCAACAAAAACAAGAAAGTCCGGAAAATTTCTAGCTAACTCGCTCTCTCTCTGGGTTAGAAAAGTGTTTGGCTGATTAGATTCCATGTAGGTTAACTTCTTCAGGCTCTGAAGAAGATGAAATCGTTCAAACGTCAGCAGTTGATATTGCACTGTGTCGTGCTGAATAGATTCTATTGTTAGCAACCTCGTAGCCGTTCGTCGAGAAGTCGTAAGCATTTGAGAAGAACATATTTCCATTTGATTGAAAAGGACATCTAACTGTATATTTTTATCCGATCTTAAAAGCTAAAAGAATAGTGCTGTCGGCGTGGATCAATCCCTAGGGGATGCGCCATCCATTCGTCTTTAGTTTTTAACTTCGTTTGAGGTGATTGAATGCATATCTGGCCTTCACAATGACTCGCGGTGGCCTCCCGCTGTATCGAGACAGTGCTGTTTATCCTCCCAGATAAGTCGCAAACTCTTCTGATAGCAATTTACCGGCCCGAAGGGATGGATGGCTTGGTCAGCCATGAGCGTTGGATTGAACCATGGACCTTGTGTGCGACACAGAGCTCCTCTAACCACTGCACACAGCGCGATTCATACGTGGCGTGCGATTTTCTTACTAAATACGGGATTTTTCCTCCTTTTTGAGGGATTTGCGCCACATTCGCTCCTATATCCAACTTTGTTTATATTTATTTATACTTAATTATATTTGTATCTTATGTATCTTTTAATTTCAATGTCGACAACAAGTCTCCTACATAAAGCCACAAAGATGCTGAGATATGAGCGAAGTTGGGAACCTCAACATTTGAACTCGCGATTACCCTCCCAGCGGCACTTGTTGATATTCACTACACCAATGAATGCCCTGCCTTGTTATCGGGTTGGGAAGAAATTTCCGAATTCTTTTTCTCTTGTGTCTTTTTTCAACAAATAAAAACAACAAATAGTTTGTCAAATCTTTTCCCTTCAACTTCATTACTTCCTCTCACTTTTCCGGCAAGTTCATGATTCCGCAGCAGCAAAATCCGGTGTTTTACAAATCGAAGAATTTTTCAAGTACTTCTCCCACCTCACTTACTAGCGTTTAGACCAGCATTGGAGCACTTGAATCCAAAATATTCGTGTAGTATCAGCAATCGTTTTTGCTTTCGGGACAATTCCATTTCAGAATATGTGTATAAGTGTTTAATATCGAAATAACCGCAAGATACTGCTCGAAACGATAATGGAAACAAAAACTCAAATGCGTGGAATCAATCAGTAAAGACAATAAAGTCCGGAAAATTTCTTATCAATCCAATAATTAAAACTTTGGCTTAGCTGGATTCAATGCCTCTAGTGACCCCTCCCCCTGCAATCGCAAAAATCATTCCCATTGGCAGATGATTACTAATAGCAACAGTAGGATCACAACATAAATAAGAAAAGTGCTAAAAGCAGCATATTAGCTGGTGCAGATGATACGTGAGTTCCAGGACGAGGTGATTACTGTTCCATAGCTCACCTGACGTCCCAAGTTCTGTTCCTATCTCAGCACTTTTATGGTCAAATATCTATTCTTAGAAATACATTCCAAGTAGATTTTTTCTTTTGTAGTAAAAAGCTCAGTAAGTTGGTTAAACTACCTGTGTCAGTGTCGTCTGCAGATAACGCCAGTAAACAGTAAACCTTCCATTTATCACTGTAACATGCAAAATTAGCCCAGCGGGCCATAGTGGCTGTAGGGATCTGTTAAGCGTCATCTGTCTTTCAGGATGTCTCTCATTGTCTATGGGAGCAACATGAACTTTGCTTATTTGAAGGCAAGCAGCTTAGGTAGTACAAATGATATGAAGTCAAATGACCAAGAAGGATTGATGAAATGCGAACCAGTTATGGGAATAATCTCAACGCGATGCAATTGAGCTAAGAAAGAGAGATGTGGAAGCCGAATTGCTTGGAATACATGGAAACCGCGATAAAAAGTCGGATAACTCAACCACTTATCGAATTCTACCGAATTTGAATAATTCATGAGCCCTACGTGAATTTTCGTAAATTTCTTCGTTAAAAAGAATTGACTAACATTACGAATTGTATATCGCCTTTATCCTCTCTTTGGGAGTTCTCGTTGAATTGTTGAGAAAAACCTTCGACGAGTGGTAAAAGTAGTATCCAATCTGCTGTTCAGATTAGTAGTTGGTCACCATTTATGGCTTCTTCTGCAACTTTTATCTTGCTTACATGAAGCGTTCTTAGATTGTTGGAAGCTTTTTGTCTAGAATTCAAGTAATCCATCGAACGCTTAAGTCTCGGGGATTCGATATTTTCTTGGTTTATAAAAAGGTCTTTGTAGTATTATGGAGCAGCAAAAATGAAAGGCAGTTCCAAAATCGCTGTGCCTTATACTCAGCTAAAGTCGGTAGGTCGTTTTTTATACGCTACACCAAACTCTTTCGATAGCGCGAATCTCGGTGAATTTGAAACTCAAACTTGTTGTTAAAAAGGTTTCCATAGCGCACCGTGAGAACGAAAATTTGATTACGTTTAATATTCGAGGTTTTCTGTACAAATAGGAGTTATATATGCACGAAGAGTATTTGAACTTGTAGAGAAAATTTTGTTCTATCACACTGATACAAAACTCTAAAGTAGTCCCCGAACCAAGGAAAAATCTCTGTTGATAAACAAGAATTGCGCATCACTGGCGATATCGATTATGCTGCCTTGTAAAGGGTCAACTTCACGTACGTTATAAAATTCATTTTAAATCATGTGTTTTTAACGTAAATGTTTCCAGACATAATCAAGCTTCTCGAAGTGCACTATCAAATCGTGCCTCAAGAGATCATAGCAGGGACAGTAGATGCTGCAATGTGTAAAATCCGTACTAGCTCGTGCATAAGCCGGGAATCGAACCCATGTTGCCCGCGGGGCAGGCGAGCAATCTACCACTGAACCACCAATTCTAATGAATTAGTTCAAAGTCAGGAGCCCAAATAATCGAAAGATTCGCTTAATCAAAAGACGAGCGAACCATAAACGAGGTACGTTTGGTTGATTTCATCCGTAAACGTCACGAGCACTTTCATTCACGGCCGAAGCGGCAGATAATTCACGGTCTATTCCGAAAATCATTCAGAGCTCTGTATATTGTCTAAAAATCGAAATGAAACTCTTTAAGACGTGGTTGCGGAGACAACGTTTTAAAGTATTGTTGACGACAGCTGTGCAAAGAGAGAACACGACATCTACATAGCCAATTTGTAAGTTTCGTCTTACTTAGTAGTGCACGTCGAGTTGTTTCACTGCATTTCTTCACTGTTTATTCTTGCAGAGAAAAGAATTGAGTTGGTGTAAATACTGTCGAAGATGCTAATGAACAACTAGTAACCAAGGAGATCTCACGAGTTTGCGGTATATTGTTTAACCATGTTTCCAATTATGTAGTCATTTGCCTATGACTATGTCACTTTATTACGAATACAGTATGTGAGTATCAGTTTACATTAAAGTGATTTCATAAGTACGGAGATGTTCTGTGTTATCAGCTACTTCAATCGCTTTTAAGGTCTGTCAAATCGTGCATTGATTACGAGCTCTTGTAACTCCTATCATGTTTTTTGTATCACACCCTCATTTATTCGTTATTGTAATTTATCTCCTTAGCATGCATATGACTTTATCTTATAGCGCCAATACTCAAAAAATTACATCTAAACCTTTCCTGCATGCGGTCGGTCTCCCAAGGGTGCTGATGTCATCCTTTCCCAGACTTTCCGTTTACTTTTCGTTTCGAGTGTTTTCTTAAGACCAAAGCTCAAATTTCAATATGCCACAAAATTATTTTTGAGCCACGCATGTCGTGTGGTCTGTTAAAAAAGAGCTGACTTGTAGAGCCCGATACACGTGTTTCGACCTTGCAGTCTCGTCAGTCGGGCAATTACCCATTCTCGTCTTCTGCTAATCTCTGTTGGTTCCCCTTCCCTACACTAAGAGTTAACGATAACGAACGTTTTACACTCTATGTCCAGTGAAATTATCACCGGCACACAGAGTGTTGTACACTCGATTTTTTCGTGGCTAGTGTATTCGATATATCATGTCTTTCGTCTCCAATGTTTCCTTAAGACCACAGCTCAAATTTCAATATGCGTGGCTGAAAAACACTTTGTGGCATATTGAAATTTGAGCTGTGGTCTTAAGAAAACACTCGAAACGAAAGATATTAGAGTGTAAAATGTTCGTCATCGCTAAGTCTTAGTGTGGGGAAGGGCTATCCACAGATTTAGCAAAAGATGAGGAAGGGTAACTGCCCGACTGACGAGACTGCAAGGTCGAAACACGTGTATCGGGCTCGATAAATCAGCCCTTTTTTCAACAGACCACACGACATGCGTGGCTCAAAAATGATTTTGTGGCATATTTTCTTTCAGTGTCGATAGTTATACGTCTTGTTAAATGTCTGCGAGTACCTTGTCCATCTGTTGTCATCTCTATCCTTAAGACCGCTCCATCTATGTCATCGTTCTCTTATAAGGCGAATGCTTGACGCATCCTCCAGGGATCGGTCAACGCTGAGAGCTTCATCCTTCATCCTGTTATCTTGAAGAAGAGATAGTTGAAGCTGTGGAGCACACTATTTGGTCTAATTGTGTTCTTTTATGTTGGTTATTATAAATCTTTGATTTTGATTATATTTGTTCTCTAAATTTCAAATCAGATAATGTTTTTTCGAGCAACAATATATTAATTGTCGTTGTCAAGGATATTACACTTTCTTGGTTGATAATAGTGCCTATATCTCGAGAAGCAGAAATTTTCACTCATAGGAGTTGGTTGAAGCAAGTCTTTCGTAATTGTCAGATGTCATGCCACATAGCGATGATGAGCGCATGTGCCGCAGTGGGTTAGGTGCTTTGCATCGCACACGAGGTCAATGGTTTGATCTCGCGCCCATGGCTCACCAAGCCATCCATCCCTCCGAGATCGGTAAATTGGTACCAGACAGGTCTCAGATTTGTCCGGGAGAATAAACAGCACTGACTTGGTTCAGCGGGAGGCTACCGCGAGTCATCGTAAAGGCCAGATATGCATTCAATCACTTCAAACGAAATCAAAAGTTGGAGACGAATGCTTGGCGCATCCCTCAGGGATTGATTAACGCCGAGAGCTTCATATTTTATCGTTTTATAGCGATGATACACCAAGTGAACCAAGTAATGTTAATGCAATAAATCCGATTAGTATGGAGAGCGGAATACCACGGTTCCTTCCATCTCCGATTTTCTGCGCGTGAGTATTGCGGCGCAAACACAAGCACTAAAAAATTTGAAAAATTTCTCGATAAGCAGATACAAGGTGTTGACATACTTCTTTATTTCATTCGCTTATATTTCATTGAACAAAACTCCTGCCTTAGAGTATTAGTTCTATAGTGACTCATCTTTTTGGAGTCTGGGAATGGTTATGCAAAGTTCTCGATCTTTTCCTTTCAAAGTCCTTCTGAATCAAACTCAAAATCTAGGCTTTAGTTGCATTGTGAACATCTGTAAAAGTAAAGAAGAGTAGTTGAGGCAGCCAGGCAACGTCAACGCTATCGATTCGATCACAATGATAAGGGATATTTTGTGGAGAATGATTCCAGAAATTATTCCGCCCACATGAAAATTCATGTCGTTAACTGGCCAGGTAACGAATCGGCAAACATCTTTTGCCCACCGGTCAGATGTTTAAATAAAGTTGACCCTCATGTCAGCAGTATTAGTCTTTATAGGACTCAACTGATCGGAGATTTCCCAACATATTGCTATATGACACGTCCCATGTGTCCGACATGCGTCAATCAGTGCGAGATGGTGTGGTCCGTAAGGGGTCGACCGTGCATCACAATTGTTGTTTTCTTTCCTCATTAAAATCCTAAGGGACAGTGAGTGTGGTTACCATGAAATCTTGGTATACGCATCCAAGGCAAATTCGTGCTTCACCTTTGAGTTTATCTGTACACGCCGCGTTCTAGTAACTACTGTATAAGTGTAATTCTACACACCACAGCTTTTCGAGGCAAATGTAGCCTAGCGGTTAGTGGTGGTCGTGATACACACGGTCATTATTTCAACCAAAAGCTGTCACAGCCAAGTCTCTCATTTAGACATGCTCAATAGATTAGTAACAAACTTGCAGAGAAAGCGATCCTTTCTCTGAGTCACAAAGACGTTTTTTCAAAACGGTAGTCTTTCGCTCATAGATTCGCCGTAGTGCTGTGTTTGTCTGTACATAATGCATATGTACATTGTTCGTTCTCACATAAAATTAACAATAGTAGCCGAAAGCGCGAAATATGTTTCCTATAGTTATCTTATGTGATCAATTTCTACTCACTGATCGAATTCCGGGCACTTTTTTGAGTCGGCTTCTTGCATCTTTGATGCACGAAGGTAATTAAACTTCGTCTTTTTCATTAATGACGTCGAATGCTGTTAAGCGTAGAGCACTTTCTCTCCCTCTCTCTCTCTCTCTCTCTCTTTCTCTCCCTCTCCGACTGCCTCCCTCTCCCTCTCTCTGTCCTCCTTTTCTCTATCTCTTTGTCTCCGCTTTTCTGGAAACTTAGAATGGTTCTGCTATGACTTTTCCAAGTCTTTATAAGAGGCAACCGTCGGCTTTTGTGACTTGGAGAAAATAGCGGTTCCTAGACAAGTTGCCGCTAATCAGCCGAGCGTGGCTGAATGAGGAACTTAGCTGTGTTGATGCGTGATTGAGAAGACAACCATGTGCAATTCGAGCACCTCTAACCACTAGGCAACACACACTCCAAAAGTCATGTTTGTATAATCAAAGAAATATACAGTAATGAATCAAACGCGAGGTGTTCAATTGGACTTAGAGGAAAAGCAGAAGATTCCTTGAAGCTTTATGGCAGAAATTCTACGAAAACCACACTCGATGTCCCTTCAGGATTCCAGTAAGGCACATCGTTAATGCAACCGAACTCTCAACGAATCTAACCATCTCGCTCCGGATACCACCGCTGGACACAAGTGAGCGTGTCATCAGCAGTATACTAGTAAAGTCTCTGGTCAATAGATTTTTACGATAGCTAATTTATTACTGCTAATATAAGCGTCCTCCCAAATAGCTTACGCGCCTCGTCGTGGCTGCGGTGTTCCTGAGTGTCGCACTGCGAATTACAGCAGGCGGTTCAACCTCTCAGCAGGGCCACACAAGCTGAAAAGAAGTGTGACGTCTACATCCGGAAAGCCCTGCTAAGAGTAAACCGTACCAGGAATGACGGCCGTCTTAGTAGCTACTAGTCACAAGGTGTTGACCTCGGTCGGATCTACAAAGGTCGGTAACTGCCCTAATATGGTGACGATCTTAGGAAGTCCAGACTAGGCTCACCCAGGAACATAAGGGAGCAGAACAGCTAAACTAGCACAGTTTCCCTGTACTGGGGCTTGCACTATTAGTGATTACGGGTAATCCAAGTATCCAAGTTATAAGGTAATATAGGTGCCAAGTTCATGTGAAAATTTGACTACTAGGTAAAAGATCTCTGCCGAAGTCGTTATCTGACCATTTAACGATATCAACTCCTTATTGGGGACGGCATGATCTCTGGGATTTTTATCCAAAAAATGTCCCTCACCATGACCGAACTGATAGTAAAGGAGGACTGTCCCTCTACGCTGACTCATTCCAGCTCGTCTTAACCCTTTCGGGACAGTGCACCCACGGCCTCTGCATCTCTGACTGGCAACTCTAGGCGGTCTGCCCCACCTCTGCATCTCTAACCCCCAGCGTGCTGCGTCTAACAATGGCACGCCGAGGGTTAAAGACACAGAGGAGGAAGGGCAGACTGTCCAGCGTTGCCAGCTGGAGATACAGAGGCCGTGGGTCATCGGTCCCGAAAGGGTTAGGGAGCATGTCATTGGAGCGAGATATCTGCTCACATTAAAATCGGTCTATACTT